AAGAGTTACTGTAAGGGTTAAGATACAAGAATGTGGTGGGAGTCTGCATTCCGTACTGCTGCGTTGACTCATCTTCTCTTCGTCAGCCACGTCTTTGTGTACTCGCGCATGATAAAACTCCCCCGCACCTTTTTATCAATCGCTGCGAGACGCTCGCCATGTCCCGCCTGTTATAGGCTTCCCCTCCCTCGGCGACTCGCCTGCTGAGGCGCAGGCTACTTCGAACCAATCGATGCGCGCCGCGCAAACTAATTGCCTAAGGAACCAATCCGCACTCAGGGCTTCGCAGCACTAGACACATCTTCATGGACAAACCTGGCGTGCAGACGCAGCTGGCTCCAAACACAACTTTTGTACCTGTCATTTTCCGCGGTAAAATTTTGTCCACCAACACCGTCTCCCCTGACTTGTGATTTTAGGATCCTTTTGTCGTCGATACAGCAACTAGGCTTCGACAGAGATTATCCCTCTGACATTTATCAAAAAGCTAGTCCTTTTCCGTGTCTTGCTTCGGCAGCCATAGGAGTCCTCCTTATCCCGGAGTCTTGGGTAGCGCTTTGGATCAGTCATCGTTAGACGGCTCGACGAAATCATCGCCGCATTTGGAGAAATTTTGTTAACCCTCTGACCTAATTAGTTGACTGGAGACGTCAGTTTGACTACAGGCAATGCATGCATACAAGGTGCGATTACGATTGTCCGACAGAGCACAGGCACAGTGCACCCCCGTCCCCCTATTTTAATGACGGCCAGCCTATCAGTTCAGCCAACCCTGAACGTAAGGTGATCGGAGAGTTAAATATGCTCAAGAGTCAAGAATGTCCTGTCTATTTACAGAGTTTCATTTATTTTCATCTGGATAAATCTGATTGGTTTTTGTCCTAATTTAACAGCCACTGACATGCCTTCGCGCTAGCGATGCAGCGAACTAGCACATGCACCCGGCGCACAGTGTCTATACGCTGGCCGATCGCGTCAAGGTCAACACGCGAAGATCTCGACCAATCACCTGATTGGGCTATTTTTACCTGGTCGACTATCGCTCTCGACGATGTCCACCACGGGTTTCAACAAGCTGAAGCGACGCGGTAACTCCCGCGGGATTATAGTGAAAGTAGACTTGCGGAGAATCTACCCCACCCTTTCATCACTCCTACACTGGGATACGATGGCAAGACAAAAGTCAAGAGGGCCGACGATGGAGGAGGGCGGAGGCGACTGGTGCGACAAACCCTCAACACGCGACCAACAACACGCCTTGTGAGATAGGCCCTCATCTGGGAGCGCTATAAAGGCAACATTAAGAAGGAGCCATTGAGCCTGACTCTCAACCCGCAGTAAGCCACTCCACACAGCGCGACAAACAAACACACTGGTCTGACTGTGCTGTCCGAGTTATTCCGTCAGTTGGCAACCTTCTAAGCCAGGGCCTTTAGTGCGCCGCGATAGCTTCAAGCGCATCATTTTGTTTATAGCGAGGAAGGAAATGCG